GTTTTTTTTTTTTTTTTGAAATGAGGATGCAAGAAGGTTAAACTGTTTTGAGACAGAAACCAGATCGGCAAAATGATGCAGATTTTAAATTTTCTTTTTAGACAACTTATTTTTTAAGAGAATTTGGAAGGCTAAAAGGTGTAAATATGGATAAATTATTAGTTTTGTTTAACTTAAAATGAGAAAGTTGAAAGGGCATAAGGCGAAAGCCGGAAGGCCACAACCTAGAAGCTGGAAAGACAAAATGAATGCTAATTTTAATTTTTTTTATAATTTTCTTTAATGCTAAGCCTCCTCTTAAGCCTATAAATAGAGTTCATAGATGAGAGAAATAACCACAAGTGAGGAAAAGGGAGGGAAGAAGAAAAGAGAGGATGAGTGGAGAATGGAGTTTATTGCTAGTGAGATTTTTCAAAAGAAGAAAATCATTCATGTTTTGCGTAACAAGCTAGCAATGAGATCTTTTTCAGTGTTACAGCCAGATGGAAAATTATCCTTGTCTTGCTTAGTATGCGAGCAACAGGATCTTCTTTTTTAATTGCTGCCAAGAGGAAAGTCATCTCCGTTCTATGTAGTAGATGAGTAATGTGATCTTCTTTCATGTTGTGATGAAGAGGAAAGTCATCCCTGTTCTGAGTAGCAAAAAGCAACGGGATCATCTTTCATGTTGCAGCCGAGGAAATTCATCCCCGTCCTATGTAGCAGGTGATCAATTGGATCTTCTTTCATTTCATGGTGAAGAGGAAATTCATCCTCGTTCTATGTAACAGGCGATCACTGAGATCTTCTTTCACGTTGCGGCAAAGAAGAAGGTCATTCCCATCCTAATTAGCAAGCAAGTAACAAGATTCTTTTCATGTTAAGATGCAAAAGAAATTTATCCCTATCCCATGTGAAAGGCGATCAACAGGATTCTCTTTCACATGATGGTGAAGAGAAAAGTCATATTCGTCCTACATAGCAAACAGGCAACAAGATCTTCATTCAAGTTGTGGTTAAGAGGAAAGCCATCCCCATCTTATGTAACAGGCAAGTAACGAGATCATTTTTCATGTTTTGACATAAAAGAAAGTTGTCCCCATCATGTAGAGCAGGTGATCAAGGAAATCCTCTTTCATGTTGCAACATGAAAGAAAGTGGTTCTGTTCTACATAGCAGGCGACAAAAAGGCTATTCTTTCGCATCGGTAAGATGAAGAAAGTTATATTTTTCCTTGCCCAATAGGTGACTCAAGATCTTCTTACTTGCTGCTACTGTGCATCTCGGTGGAGATGAAGAAATGCTAGAGTTTTCCTACCGCACTTTGTAGGGGAGATTTTCATGCTTGTGTAGTAGCAATATATCTTGTATCTTTTGTATAAGTTCTTCTTAGTCTTTATAGCCTTTTTAATCATCTGATGTGACATTTGTAGATCATGATAATGTATTTCTTTGTATGTATTTGGTGTATCTTCTGAGCTTGTTGTGGCTTTTCAATCGTATGAAATTCTACAATTAAAGTTAGCACACAGTTTATAAAATGGAGAATATCGTACCTTTTGAAACTCGTACATTCCAAGGTTTATCCCTCTCGATCTTATGCCATATATGAGCTTGAAATGAACCTGTACCTTCTGCGACTTGTAACCTTCTAATATCTTTTATGTGTTGGTGTCTTCTTAGGCTTGTAGCCCTTTGTGGTCTTTGATGTATCTGTGTCTTCTTAGGCTTGTAGCCTTTTAAGGTTTTTTTTGTACCGATGCCTTCTGAGGCTTGTAGCCTTCTATAATATTTGATCTATCTGTACCTTCTAAGGCTTGTAGCCTTCTAAGGTCTTTATTGTACATGTGCCTTCTGAGCATTGTAACCTTCTGATATCTTTTATGTACTTGTGTCTTCTAAGGCTTGTAGCCTTTTGAGGTCTTTAATGTATTTCTGATTTCTAAGGCTTGTAGCATTCCGAGATATTTGATGTACCTGCGCCTTCTAAGGCTTGTAGCCTTTTGGGGTCTTTCAGTGGAGACCCTGTCAACCACTTGCTCTCTTGGAGTCTTTCTAGTGAGTATCTTGTCCACTATTAGCTTTCTATTGAAACTTACCTTTCAGGGCTCATCTTCCAAGGGCATGGTAGCTTCGCTTAGAGTTTTGTCCCCTGGGCTTGACTTCTTGGAGCACTGTAACTTCCTATAGAGTCTTGCCTCCTAGGCTCAACTTCTAGGGGCACCAGAACTTCCCATTGATTTTTGTTTGTAGGGCTTGAGTTCTCAGAGAATGGTAGATTTCTATCGAGACATGATTTCTGGGCTTGTCTTCTAGGAGCATCATAGCTACAAATCGTCTTGCCTCTTGGGTTCAACTTCTAGGGGTATCAGATCTTCTTATCAAGTTTTGCCTTTGGGCCTAACTTCTAAGGGGCATGATTGAAAGGAGAATCTATTAAGAATGTAAGACCAATTATGAGTTGTATAACCAGAGATGCTTGATGGTATTAACCCGTAATGGGTAAAGTCATATGAAATTTACTAAGGGTGGTTGATTTATCCTAGGTTGTTAGGCAAAGCTTTTCTTTAGTGATAGTAACATATTATGGAAGAGGTTGAAGGAAATTCGTCAAGTATTTTTGAACCATCTAAGGTTGTATGTTGAAGATTTTGCTTGATGAATGTAACCTATAATAGAAGAGGTTGAATCAAGCCCCCCTTGGATCACTTAAACCTAGAATGAGGTGTAGAGATGCTATGGGTTTCTCGAGACTAGACCGTAGGTCACAATAGACTATATCTTTTTTTAGAAATATAGTTGTAGTCATACACAAGAATAATGTTTTACAACTCAGTTGTTGCTAGTTCTTAAACTTTTGCCCCCCAGCAGGGGTGTTTTCCATTCGATCTTGTGAAATAGCCCATGTAGTGATCCTTGAAGAGATCATCTTTTTAATCTAGTTGAACAATAACTCTAGTACAGTGATGGGCACTGAGAAAGCGTATTTCTTATGAAGATTTCCCCTTTCTTGCAACGGTTTTCAAAGTCTTGTTGTCTCAATGGGATGACTACCCTACCACAATCATGCTCTAAACATTAATGTGAACGATCTTTCGTGACTACAGTGAAGGTTGCCCCCACTCTGAAAGAAGTTGTGATAGATTGTGTCTGAATAAGATGTGAGAAGAAAATTAAGCTACAATCATGCCCGGGATGTTAACGTGAACAACCTTTCAAGACTGCATTGAAGGTCGCCCCCCATATTAAATAATGCTTTGAAGATGATCTTCAAGATGCAAAGGATGTTCTTTAACCAGTTAGTTGATGTACATCATTGAGAAATGAAGTAGGGGCTCGATGTCTTAGAGTTGAAGACAATGCCAAATGAGACTTTGTTTCCCCCAAAAGACGCCAAATTATTGCAATATAGATAGAGTAATAGATTATCTTCTCAACATTGCTTGAGAATTCATCACACACTCAGATAAAAGAAAACAACCACTAGTGACATCAAAAGTTTTTACATGGAAAACTCACAAGTGGAAAAAAATCATGAGGCCCAGTCAAGTTGTAAAAATTCACTATAAGTTGATGATTACAAAGACCCCTTATCCATAGACGGAAAATGATTACAAAGTCTTCTTAAATACAATGTTGATGTGTGAATGAACTTTTGTAATAAGTTGGCGTCAACTGATGACGATCGATGGAGGCCGACAAGTGGTGGTCAATGGAGGTCGATGGTGGTCGACGATCGATGACGGTCAGCGATGTTCAATGGCGCTCGACAGCGATCGATGGTGGCAGGAGTGGTCCTGGATTTCAGTTTCTTCTCAAAGCTTCAAGTTCTTTCTCAAACCTTAAGCTCCCCTCTGCCTCACGAGAGGGGTGGTGCTCTATTTATAGTGTTATGGGTGCAATTAAAACGGTCATATGAACCACTCTGATCGGATGGTTCAGAGAGCTTTCTTCGATCAGACGGCGTTTGATGGTCATTTCAGTGCCTTAACGATGTTGAATTGAGCATTCTTGGGCTCGCTATATTCATCTTGTCGAGAAACTCGATTCAACTATAGGCTTGTCCGATTCGACAGTTGCTTGACCTTCTAAATATGTTTGAAAAACTTGTAAGAGTGGTTTAATGACTTCATCTGAGCTTGATTTGACTCGGATTGGACTGATTTTGATATCATTGGGTCTGCCTCATCATGTTGGCTAGCTTAACTATATGTTTGCTGAAATCGGAGCTTTGGATGACTCTTATTTGAAGTTTGAAAGTTTCTTATTCAAAATTTGAATCGAGAACTGTGTCATGCCTTGAGATTTGTTCTGGGTGTTGGAGATTTGATGATGTAATATCATATATAATCATAAAAAAAATACTATATTCCCCTTAACAATTTTGATTTTTTTCAACACTCCAAGATTTGTATGACGGGCATTACTAAGGCTTCAAATAATTTTTAGACAAAAATGGACAAAAATTGAACATCATAACCAGAAAAAAAGATGAATATGAACCTTATAAAGAAAGAGAAATAACTTTACTAGTTTTTATTTCTTTTCTCGATTTACTATAAAAAAATTCTAGTACATACACTGCTATACTTTTAATTTCACGAAAAATAAAGTTGTCCGTTTGAGGAGACGGTGAAATTTTGTTCAATTGGAGCAATCGATCTACAAAAATTTTTTATTTGGTGAAGTAGTCGGAGATGAACACCTTCAGAAGTTCTTTCACAAGAATGATAATTTTTTTTCCGCTTTATACCTCAGTTGGTTTCCTCCAATAATAAGAACATGAATTTTAAAAGAAATTTCAAATGAAACCTCATTGAATTGAAATTTTGGTGAAGTTGAACTAATGGGTTCAAGCTCATCCTCAAATAGGCAGCATCATTAGATCCAGCCGACCCGTTCACAATTTTTAAACCCGATCCAACCTATCGTTGGGTCGAAGTTTCCGTCGCACGGCTTCGCGCGCCGTCGAATTTTAATTAGTCGGCGATCTGGAAAACCATACGTATTTTAATCGTATAAAATGGCGGAGCGAGAGGGGTGGCGCTGCTAGAGAAAACCTGGAGGGTGAAAGAGAGCGAAGGGACCAGTGTCCATTTTTTTTTATTACTTTTAGCAGACGAAACAGAGAAATCCAGTGTCGGAGCTGGGAGGAAAACAGAGTGAAGATAGAGAGGAAGAGAAGAAAAATCGATTCAATTCTTCTCCCTTCTTACCGCGTTCAGTAGCCTTAATCGGTTCTGAAATAAATTCAACTCGTTCGTGAAGCCTGCTTGCAGATTTATTCTCCTCGTATGATCGATAAGGAGGCGGAGCTTTGGACTACCAAGCGGTGATCACAGCTCCGGCGAGTGAGCGGAGTACAGCGAAGGTATATACGAAGAATCTTCTTCTTTACAGGATACGGATTTCGTGGAGCTGTAGGTTTTGCTTTTTTCGGATCAGGGTTGAGAATCCGTTGCGGCGCTTCGGATCTGGATTTGGTTGATTTTGTGGATATTTGTTTGCTTTTTATGAGCTCGTGGATAGATTTTATAGTTGAGGGATTTTGTGTCTTGCCCGGGTTTCAAAGGACCTGTGGTAAGATTTTTGTGAATCGAAACATTTTATTTTCGGATTGACATTATTGTGCCGATTGAAGCAACGCCCGACAAAATGCATTTCCCTAAGAATTGACTTAATTTTAAATGCTGAATAAAGTTGAGAGCTAGGCGACCTACTATTATGTTCTTTTATTTTCTCTCTCTTTTATTTTTTTAACTTGACTGGTTTCACTGCTTCTTTTTAATTAAAAGTTGTGCTATTAAGAGTTCCGAGTAGTTTTATATTTTCCATTGATGAAGATTTTGGGGCTTCATCTGTTGAAAACTTGTTTTAATTGGAAGATTTAATAGGTTTCTTTCCCGATTTTGTTCCATTCCGCGTTTTAATAAATGCTGAATAGTTTAATTGTATAACGCTGTATTGATCTCTGCTGCTCTTTGGAATAATCTGTGGATGAAAATATACCTTTATTTTCATATTCGTTGATGCAGCGTGCATTTTTTGTTTTTTACAGATTTAAAAGTTGTCATTCAGTATTTTGTAACGTTTGGCCATTACACTATATGTCTTCAACAATCTGAATCGCTTAAGCTCCCTCCAACTGAAGAAAATGTCATGTTAGTAAATCACTTTTACGACCTTTTGTCTTGCAAGGAGAGAGATTTCTACTCCTATGATTTCATTTCTTTCTTTTAACACTTTATTTGTTGCCTTGTCCGCAGTGTCCCTTAGCGAAGGGCTTGAAGGATCATTTTCTCAAGACGAGAGGAGAGACCGGAGGTCAGATGTTGAAAACTCGGAGGATGAGAGAAGGAGAACAAAGATCGGATCCCTTAAAAAAAAAGCATTGAACGCCTCCACAAAATTTACGCATTCTCTTAAAAAAAGAGGGAAGAGAAAAGTTGATTCAAGATCTTCTTCTGTTTCAATAGAGGACGTCAGGGATGAGGAAGAAGAGCGTTCCGTCTATGCTTTCAGGCAAGAGCTCATCGCTAAAGATTTGTTACCGGAGAAGCATGATGACTATCATACGCTACTTAGGTTTGATTAGATTTTACTTTATTCGGTTCATTTTATCACCATCAAACGCTACTCAGGATGCCAATTAAGTTTGTGAACAATGCAGGTTTCTAAAAGCCAGGAAATTTGATTTGACCAAAACAACTCAAATGTGGCAAGAGATGCTTCGCTGGAGAAAAGAATTTGGAGCGGACACAATAATGGAGGTAAACTTGTAATTCCTTGTCCTGTAAAATTTATGATTTACAAAATGAAGTTTTTTCTGTAATTGTTTAATGAATTTAATTGCAAACTTATGAATGAAACGCATATGGGAGAACCTCTAAGTTGGTCGTCAAAGTTTTCAACCAACAGAGAGGTTAGCTGTGATTAATAGGTTTTAATTTGATGATGGCGTGCTCTTTTTAAGAATTTTTAATGTAAGTAGAATATCCTCAACTAATATTATGATTTGCATTATTGAGTTTAGAATTACTTGCTATATTTTAATTGATCTGTTTTTTAATTAGCTTTCCATATTATCTTCTGGGGGGATTTTTTATAAGGTTTTCAAGACAAATTTTTTTACATTTCTTTATGATTACTTGCATGATTCTTTCTATTTTCATTTGCATTGGTGCATTTTCTGAAATTAGCAATGCATTAATTGATGCTTTTATAATCTATCAACCTTTTATCTAATCAAAATTTCCTTCTTTTATCACTTCGATATGATTATCTAAAAATTGTTACTTGAAGTTCATTTAGGTGTTTGCAACATTCTTTTTGGTCTTAAAAATGTTTATTTCATAATGTTAAACTAAAGAACGACAAAGATGCGATATTCATTTCTATTTGGGAATATGGATTTTGTGTTCAAATGATATCTCATTTTAAGGCAAAGTTTGGCAGTACGGATAGAACCCCTGCAAGCCTGGGACAAGCTGCGCTTTCCATGCATGAATTGGTTGGAAGGCGGCCTTTTTGTGCTCGGGTTGTTTGGGGGCAGTGTTCTTTTTCCCCAAACATTGCCTAAGGATTATGTATTACCTTAGTTGTTGTCACTTAATTATTTGGAAACCACCCTTTTCTGTTTCTATGGCTTCATTTGCAGCATTGACACTCTTTTGTGATATTTTTGAATTCAAGGATTTTGAATTTGAGGAGCTAGGCGCAGTACTTCACTACTATCCTCAAGGGTACCATGGAGTTGACAAAGAGGGCAGGCCTGTATATATTGAGAGGCTTGGAAAAATTGAGCCGAGCAAGCTGATGCATATCACTACCTTGGAACGATACCTAAAATATCACGTACAAGAGTTTGAGAAAGCATTTCATGAAAAGTTTCCTTCCTGTTCAATTGCAGCAAAAAGACATATTAACACAACAACAACAATATTAGATGTACAAGGCGTGGTATGTTTTCAAGTTCCTTATATTGTTTTATTGGTGATGTGCTACTGCAAGAGATAATCTTCTTAACCCTCGATATTATTTGATTGTGATTGATAGGGTTGGAAGCATTGGAGCAAAACAGTAACAGACCTTGTGATGAGCATTCAAAAAATAGATGGTGATTACTATCCTGAGGTAGCTTATATATGTATGAATGGATAAATCCTCCTTATTTGTTGTTTTTGAAATGCCTAATGATTTTTATTTGATTGTTTGCATGCACAGACATTACATCAAATGTTCATTGTGAATGCTGGCCCAGGTTTCAAGCTTATCTGGAACACAATAAAAGGCTTTCTTGATCCCAAAACTACTGCTAAGATACATGTATGTTTCTAGTTTTTAGTTGTTGGAGGTAGCTGCTTCTGCTTGTTTTTACTGACTTAGATGATGCCTGTGTTATTTCTCTCAATATGCTTTTAGTTACTTGGGTCAAAATATCAGAGTAGATTACTTGAAGCAATTGATGGAAGGTTTGTCTTTACTTGCATTCAGTACAAAGTGCCTCTAAAATATCAATTCTCTTAACAACTATATTAACATATTGTTTCTTTATCTTACAGCCAACTTCCTGATTTCTTTGGAGGTTTGTGCACCTGTTCGGATGCTGGAGGTTGCCTGGGATCCAATAGAGGGCCTTGGAATGATCCTCTTATCATGAAGGTCGCCTACAATATGCATGATTAGCTAGTGTTACCATTGAATTAGTATGCACAATTTGATGTTGCAATTAACATATGATAAATAACAATCAAGCTCTGAGAAGTCAAAAGGGCCGTAAATGTACTCATTTTTTACCCATTTTTTAAAATTTGTAGCTTGCTCGTAACGTTGAGGTATCTTTTGTGAGGCAAATCAGACGTTTGTCCGATGGAAAGCCATTAGGAAAGCCTTGCATGCAACTAAGACCATTGAAGGCAAGAATTTTTTTCTCATTTTTTGGTTTGAATTACGTGCTTCAACCATCCTTTAGTTTTCTTAATAATATCTATTTCAACATCAGGCAAGATGCAGCAGTGACACATCTGCTGCTGAATCAGGTTCAGATGCTGATGATATTGGTTCACCTGTTGCATCTAGAAATGCGGAGTATGCACGTCTTGCTCCAGTCCATGAAGAAGTGAGCTATCTTTAGTTTTTTCATTCCACTTTGGAAGTTATCCCTTCCATTTGTTTTATGCCAATCAGATACAAACCCTTTCATCTGCAGTCGGATATGCCAAATTGTAATGCATCACTTTTAAAAAGCTTTGATTCTCTTCCTGCATGTTATAGTTGTATTAGCATTCAAATGAAATATGTTACAGGATTAGGTAGGATTTTAAAGTATATTGTTAATATCATTGATAATTTAAATCTAATACCATTATGTCAGCAAAGACATGGAAGTCAAATTAGCTATTGTACTCTGTTCATTTTGAAGTTGAAGGCTAATGTTGGTTTTAGTCTGCAGCTATGATCAATCTGATTTTTTGATTTTTCAAAATTACCTCTGGCAGTCTACATATTGCAATGAAGTTTAACTTAAATTTGAAGGTGGTGGAAGTTTTTAAATACATTTCACTTGTAAACACTTTGTAAACTAATGTTTTAATTTTATATTACCGCCAAGATTGTTAAGCTCGAGGTTTAAACAGATTTAGCAAGGGTTACTATCTTATATTGCAAAAGTTGGATAACCGTTTAACATTTTTTTTATGTTTGGGATTTGAAAAGAAAACGTGATTAAAGAAGAACGATAAATGTGCTTATTAATTCATGTAAAGTATTTATTTTATAAACATGTTTAGTTTACTGTTTATGCTTATCAAAATGGTTGTGTGAGATGTTGAGGAGCATTCCTTAAGCCTTAGCAGCTATTTTTCCTTTATCAATCCTTAAATAAACAATTATATATGTAGCCTTGTGCAGAAGATCTTTACGTCTTTCACATGACAGGTTTTTAAGCAAAAGTTGCATGCTTAGATAGTAACTTCTGCATGTTATCGTCATAACTATTTGCTGTCTATATTTGATTGGCTTGGCTTGGCAAATTATTTAACATTTTTTAGCGTTATATTTCTATTTTCAATATTATGTTCATAACTTCCTCATCATTGTTTTTTCTGTCCTTGTATGAACCATTGAAGAAATGCAAATTTTAAGGGTTTCACCAGATGCTATATCTATGCCCTTTTAACCACATTGAGCTTTGGCACGTACATGTGGAGTAGACGTTGCCCAAAACACCATTAGGACGGACCAAAAAAATGCAATGTTTTTCATTTTATAACTAATCATTGTCTTAATTCAGGAACAAGAAAAGAGTTTTTTTCATTATGAGTTACTGCATTACTAGATATTACCTGCTATAAGAAATAATTATTTTAACCTATGAATAAATTGTCACTTGAATCAGATAGTCAATATTTCTTTTGAAATTTTTTTTTTTTATTTTTTTATCTGGTTTAGGTCAGAGGAAATGATTCGTGTTCATACTATAGCTGTGATGACCATTTTGTTGTGGTTGATGAAGCTGCTGACACTGGTCATGATGGGTCGGGACCTTCCAGATTCTCACCCAGAGGAGTGGGTGACCAAATACATCCCTATGGTAAGACTGCGAAATTGTAATCAATTAATATTAGTTTCTCCCATTTCCTGACAAAAAGCATCCACGGAACTAGCATTGAAAATTGGATGAAAGTGGAAAGATGAACTATCAGTTGTGTGCATCCTAGTGAAGATAGTTGGGGCTAATATCTAAATGAATGTCTGTTCAGTGTGATTACTACTCCATGGCTGAGCTATCAAAATATAATTTGGCATTTAAAATAAATTCCCATAATCAGCATTGCAAATTTTCTCAATGCAATCAAAATATTTTAATCTGCAACAATTAGATATATAGTAAAGTTTTCTCTAACTTTGATATTAGTTTTCATGTACTTGGAGTTCTCAAATTTTTGCATGTTGGGGACATTCTCATTTTGTGGATAATCTTGATGATGGTTTATAATTGTGAAAAACAGTAAATAGTAAAATTGTATAGAATTTTTTTCACCTCATACATGATCATGTGTTCTTCTCCCTTCCTATGTATTTGAGACTGCCTGCTGTTATTCAGTGATCAGTGATCCAATATATATTATTTATATATATATATATATTGTGCAATGATTACTGTCATTATGATGCTATTTTCCTTAATTTATGTTCTATATTTTAGCAGTATGTTCCTTAGACTAATCTACACTTTTCTATAGCTCTTTTACGTAAATATTTTTTGCCATCTTAGCATCACCTGTTTGTAGAATTAATTTAGGTGAAGGCAAATCGTTCTATTACTATTTAAAAGTTTTTTAAAGTGCAATCTAACTTTGGAAATGCATTATTACTTTATCTTACGAGTATCTATTGCATTGCCTTCTCCCATCACAACGCTTTTAGCCTTTAGTCACTATGACTTGTGTATACATAGCACATTTCTTTTATAATATTGTTTTTATTTCTTGATGACCATTACATATTCTACTTTTAAATGCTATAAAAAGTCGAATTGTGTATACCTAGAGAGGGTGGCCTGGACGGTGTTGGGATAAATTTATGTAGAAATAAACTAGAATTTTTTTCCAACAGAGCAAGTTTCCTCATTTCTTATTGACTGATTGTTCCCTTCACTCTCTTCTGATCTAAAAAAGTTTTACTGTTTTATGCTTTTATATGTTATTTGATCTGCCTATTTTAGGCTATGGTTGTAGTTACATCATCTCTCATGCATACACACTGAGTTGTTACTCCTGTTTTTAGTTTATTTAGGCGTTGACAGGCTAAACGAAGAATCAATTCAAGGAATTGTAAGATGTTTTGCAAGAGTCTTGATAATGATTTTTTTCAAGCTTCTATCAACCTTTCATGCTTTAATTAAGAAACAAAGCAGCCGGGTTGGTGCAGTTCATCCTTCTGATACAGTGGCCTCCCAAGCTGAAGATAATCATAAAGTTCAAGAGGATATTAAAGAACATGTCAATCCTTGTTTAGAACGAATTCAGAGGCTTGAGGAAATGTTTAGTGAGATCAAAAGAAAACCTGCTCAAATTCCTGCCGAGAAGGAGCGTGTACTTATGGACTCTTGGTACAGAATCAAATCTATTGAGTTTGACCTTGAGAAGACGAAGAGAGTAAGTTTATGCTTCCATATTCATGCGTTCATTTTATGATTTAATTGATTGTCACGTATCAACTGTCATAAGTAATGAGTTTCTTTAACTATTTCTTGCTATAGAAAACATGAAAGGCAATAACAATTTATTCCTTATGAGCATAATCAAGCAGTTCATCATATGAAACATCTCACTTTTGATGATGGACACATTCAACTGTTCATTTCTTTAGCACTTATAGACATACGACTAGATTTTCATCTCTATGCTTGTGAAAAAAATTATATTTCTGCGGGGAATATACCATGATTGCTATCAGCTTATGGATTGTTAAAACCTGAAAGTATCTGCATTCTTTTCTGAAGTAATAAAGAGCTAAAAACTGTAGCTATAAATACTGTCACGTGAAACCTTATTCATAGCTTTGTAATGTGAACGGGCTGGTTATTTGGTGTTAACAAAAGAATGAAAAATTCGCTAGATCATGACTCTTATCTAAACTTATTAAATCACCACAAAATCTAAGTTATTGAAACCTGGGCCTTACCACCATTTCTGTTATCAATACACAGCCACATTGTGGGCATCCTACTGAAGTTGCCTAGAAGAAATCTTCATTTTGTAATATGGCATGTTACTTGGCAGTAATATTTACTTTAACAAATTTGGCTTTCAAGTTTCATTCTGTTGAAGCAGTAGTATTCTTCTTTTATTTCAGGTCCTGCACAGCACTGTTTTGAAGCAAATGGAGATTTCTGAGACGCTAGATGTTGTGCAGGAGTCTAGTGGCAGGGTAAGTTGTCTTTTCAAAATTTACAGATAGATTTTTTATGTAGTATGTGATATAAATGGCAGTGTCCAAAAATAACTGAAATAACCACTTTCTGGATTGATATGGTTGGTTTGTCCTTCCTTGATGCAGAAAAAATCTTTTTGCCGATAGAAGTAAAGACCAGAGTTTGGAGTAGCTGAGCATGAGTTAGGAGCCAGAATAGCTGTAATTACGAAGGAGAAACATGCATGCATTACACATACAAAGCATTTTTCTTCCCAATCCTCTGCAACTCTTGTTTTGTGCAATTTTGTGGATGTTTAGAGCAGTTCACAAATTCTTAGCAAGAGAGATGTATTTGGCCTGAAATTTTAGTGGAGAGCGTTCAATAGAAATTGCTAGGTTTAGATCATGCAACAATTAAACAGAACCACACGAGATTTCTGTCAACACAAAAGAAGTTTTTGGTTCCCCTTCCTTTTGTCTTTGTAAATTTCTCATTTCCAGTTATTCATTTAATTTTTTTTATTATTATTATGATTAGTTGATCAAGTATTGCTAGGACATGCGGCTTGTTATACACTAATCTTTTTTTTTTAAATGAAAATTCTGTGAAATGAATGATCCTATAAAAATTCATCCATTTAACATGAATAATGTTGAATTTGGATCCGAGGTCTTTCATGCCTTGACGGTGTGCAATCGGAAAATTTGGCACTGCATTACCATTCATGAGAAAGCATATCCAGTTTGATGTCTGCATCATCATTAATTTCACCGTTACTTTTTTTGGTTGGATTAAAATTTATTTCATTGAATGAAAGTATGGCACGCAGCCATTTTATCTCATCTCCGACAGCAACAATATTCTCACCTCGATGATAAAAAATTGAGTAGTTCGGAGTGCTTTCGACCTACACAAATTAAAAGCTTCGATGGATCATCCGGAAGAATTGACATCAGCTTGCATATATATATATATATATATATATCGTAACATGAGGTGGCGTGCATCTTGGCTTCACACCTCTTCGCTTTAAATAAGTTGTTTCTATTACACATTAAAATCATTAAGGCTTGGGTACATCATTTTTTTTTACAAATTTTTTTTTAATAACTACAAGAGTTTTTGAGGGTGAGTGTTGTGCCAAATAGATTCTCTTCCCTCACCCTCAAAGAGCTAATTTGAGAGCCATAGATTTCTTACATTGGTCAAGTAAATCGTTTACAAAAGGTTCAGCTTTAGCAACATAGATGAACCTGCAGACCGTTTTCATCATACAGCAATGGTTAGTGCTTATGCAAAAGGATTTATTTGAACTAATACCTAACTATCAGCGCATTGATTGAAAATAAGATGATCAATTTTGAAGTCTGAATTCAGGTTGCTCACATTGCCTAAAAAGCCACCTTAAAATTTTTATTATAAAAGTTTATTTTAGGTAAAATTGGACTGCTCATAACATTTTATGCTTTACTTTAAAAGTGTTTTTTTTTAATCCTAGATTTGAATTGCAAGGTTGGTGTAATGCTTGTGATTATTATAATTTAAATAAGTTTACTGTTTTGGAAATTCATCCCGTCTGACTGTTCCAAGATATAAATTGTTATTTTGGGATGGTTCAAACGGAACAGAAAGTTATTGCTTTTTTATTTCAATTGGTTTCAGACGCTTCCATTAAAATAAACTTGTTGAAAATTGTAGTGTTTGAAATTATAGGAAAGTTTTATTCAACACATTCCCCACGAAATTGTTTGCGAGTGTGTGCAACTAGGTATTAATGTTGAATTTGGTATTCAACTCAAAATTTTTATTTCCAGGAATTAAAAATTATCATATCGCTTAAAATTTTATCGAATGAATTCTAAATCTATGATTACGAAGTAAGTGCATGGCTTTATGGCATGGCATTTCGCAGATTTTTGCTCCCATGGATACAAAAAGTTGTGTACACGGACTTGCATATTGCAAAATTCTTAGCTGTAAAGTGGGATTTTACATTTTTATTTTGCATGTAAATTTTACAAAGACAAAGCCAATAAAAGCGAAACCTAGAAGGCTCCAAAGTTTCTTAGATTAGAAAATCTGGAATTGAAGATTAGCTTTTCCCTTGAATTAGAGAAGATAGAATAATAAAATAATGCACTCAAACTTGGTTTTATAATTATAATAGAGTTTGAAATAGCGGAGAAATAACAATGGCGATCGGATTATATTAGTCGAGTGTTATTTGTTAAACAATGACAATCATGTAATCATGATCAACAATAAAAATTGGATGATGATGGTTGAGCAATAGTAGTTGAACAATAATGGTTAGATAATGATAATCTTATTATGACAGTCATGGATGAATATTAGACTATATGGAATATACTATGATGGCACGGTTGTGATGGTCAAATAACAATGTTTTAAGTATTGACCAAAAGACAATGATGATGTTTGGTGATGATTATTGGCATTAAATGTTAGGCAAAGTTCCAGAGTTTTTTAAATCTTCAAAATCTATCCAAAATCATGTTCAGGTCTTAATCATATGGAAAATAAGACTTTATAATTTTTAAGAGTAGCATTTTGGTAAATCAAACCAAAATTCAAAATAATTTGCCGAATAACTCATACTTATTTCTTTGATTATAAACCATTCTCAGTACATATATACTTTAATGGCTTCAAAACTAAATGATTTTGAACTAGTTGGAATATTTTCATTAAGAAGTCTGATCTTAATATAAAAATATAAGATTTAAAGATCATTTGACTTCTTTCTCAATGTCCTAAAGTTCTCAAACACACCTACAATGCTAGATTTGGGCTTGTTTGAACTCAGATTAAACCACTTTTAATATCTTTAAGTTTGTCTCATCAAACATGCAATTCAACTATAAATTTACTAAAATTAAAAATATGATGGTCTTAACTTTAATTATGATAATTCCCAATCCTAAAATTGCATCAAGGTTCATGCTTAATTGGATGGATCTTTTGATGATGTATCATTTTCTCTTATTTTTATCTTAAACTCCAATTTTATGTCCTCAATAAATCTCGAGTTCTTAAAAATAATTGGGGACCAAAAATATAATTTTTGAAAAGTAAAAAATGTACAATAACTTTTCTAAACTATACAGTATAATTGCTCTCTAAATATCAATGTGTCTCTCTCTTTATGGCCTTGAACTAAAAAGACAACTTCATAATTATAATTTTAGCTATTCTTAAATTATGCATATCAATTAGAGTTAATATTATTAATAAATTTTATGTCAAACTCCACAAATTTACTAAAAAGACTTATAGAAATTTTATTGGGCTTTCAAAGTGTCAACATTTATTTCAAGATATCAAAAGATAGTGCAAAAAGTATTTAAAAGGGTGAAAGGCTCAAATTAGGCCTAGAGTTTGCTTGGCTTGTTGTCGCAACTTCCAGCAATACATGCATGTGCCGAAATATGCATAGGGTTAAATGTAGGCGTGCATGCAAAATGAAGTTATACAAACCAACTTATTTAAATAAGAATATAATACATTATTCTTTATTATAAAAATATTAACATTTAATGGCCAAAACTTTTTAAATTTTAAATGTATCAAAAAAAAAAAAAAGTAACTTCTTATCCTCTTTTTAATCATAATCCTTTATTGATGAGGAAAAATATGAGGCATCTTACTTTTATCTTTATATGCTCTAATTTTTTCTATTAAAAGAGGATAAATGTTATCTATTGTATCCCGTTTGCATTCACTTTTACAGGTTCGAGTGCATCTCTACCAAAACGATGAAACTATTTTTCATAGGCAAGGTTGAAAGTAAAACCTAAAATTTACAAAATTTATTAGTGGAGCTGCTATAATTTTCTTATAATAAATTATTTTTTTTTTTCCAAAACTTTGTTTCAACCATGAGTGATTTTTCTCGATATGTTAATGTTATAATCAATAAAAAAAAAATTCCACAAAAATGTTATTTTCTTTCCAATATCTATTTGTTCTATTTATGAATGGTTTTTTTGCTTACTATTACATACATTCTAAAATTTAGCAATAAAAAAAAAATTCCACAAAAATGTTATTTTCTCTCCAATATCTATTTGTTCTATTTATGAATGGTTTTCTTGCTTACTATTACATATATTCTAAAATTTAGTTTTTTTTTTTATATGAACTTATGTGTTTATATGTTTGTCCTTAAAAACTTCTTTATGAAGATTTATCATATTGATTTTATTTTTTAATTTTTAAAATTTTTATATATCATGATATTAAAATTATAAAATTTCCACATTCAATAAATTTCTATTATAAAAGCAACTATCAATAACTCCAAAATTTTTGCAAATGTTAATGGCATAGTTAACTATTTTTATAAAATTTTCATGTAAAATATTATTAGAAAATTTTAATGTTGCAGCTATTTTTATTTTATTATTTTGTAATTACTGCTCGTAAGTGTTTACTATGATTTGTTAACATCTCTAAATTTGTGGAATTTTTTAATAGAGCTTGTCTAATTTATAGATACTCTGTAAAATTTATTTTAGAAAAAAAAAAGGCAGACAGTTAATAGGTCTTATTTTACTTCATTCATGTAGAGATTTTCTTGAAACATTAAATGGCTAACTTTTGTAGCGTTATTGATACATTGGAAAGAGAATTAGTATTCAATCATTTTTAAAACATTTATATGTTTTTCACCATTTTCTTTCTTTTTAAATATTTATTCTAATTTAATATGGATGAATTCATTCATTTCAAGCACTTCCAAATTTAGAGCATGGTCTTCTTATTTGATATTGATATTTAGTGTTAATATGGATGATGTTAAGCATTAACATTATCATTGAAGATATTGAAATCCCTTGAAACATATTATAACTAGGCCACAATTTGCATCATTGTAAGAAACTTTAAGAGGGAAAAAGCTTATTGGTTATAAATTAATACAATAGTTTAGATGTTTAATGCCTGTATAAGCAATTCATGAAAATGATAACAAAAGTATAATAAGATCATGAGTTCCAACAGTTTTATATATGATTTTTTATTTATCTGACATTTATGTGCATGTTTTGTATTTCAATTTATAAGCTTGATTAACATTATCAGTCAAGTTATTGATGAACTCGCGTTCTTTATATAAAAATAATATAATTTATGAGAATTTGTCTGCCATAAGAGATTAAGTTCTATACATTTATGTTGAACCCAAATTTGTCCATTGGCCCATGCCCAAGGAATAAAGCGTGAAATCTGAGGGAAGGAGAAATAGAATGAGAGAAAGAGAGCAAGAGTTGCTCCTTAGAGGGGAAAAAGGGGGTGTTCCAAGGCTCTTTAACCCTTTTGTCGGTTGATTTTTTGGAACAATAATTTTAATTTAATATGGATATACTTCTATAATTTTAGTTTTGAAAATATCATTTTGATTTTGAAAAATGAGACAAGGTATATCTCAGTCATTTAATAGTTTAGATAGTTGAGCACAATACCACAACTAATACACCACCCCGAGAGATGAGCATCCTACTTGTTAGTATGCTTGACCATTTAAACTA